CTGTCGACGTAGTTCTTTCTCTGTAGCGGGTGTTTTTGGTGTGAAATTTCGGCTTGAATCACTACCCCTACTCGGAGGGGGGTAGGGGTTCGAAGCTGAATATTTAGCTTCGAGATCACTCTCTCTGGTGAAAAAGGGACTAAACCAGCTGCTCCGAAGCTATTCTTAATAGTCTCCGATTTGAAAGCTTCAATCCGTATAAGGGGGTATAATTCGAGGAAATCAAGTTTATCAATATGATTAACTTGTCGTCTCATCTTTGTCTCCACCAGCCGACCGTATGATCGTTTTAACACAGCAAAACAGCCGATATCGAGAGGTTGTAAAAGATGAGAGGAGTGCGGAGGCATACAGATAGGTATTATCTTATTTTGCTCGCAGATTTCATCGAATTTCGGGGTCAAATGGCTTCCGTGTCCGTCAAGAACTAGCAGCCTATACCTCCCCTTCGTACGAAGAGAAGTGCTAGGAATAAAGAGCTTTTCAAGCCAGCGAAGTCCAATTTCATCTGAAGTCCAACCATTAGGACTAACTTCAATTCGCCAGTCGTTTGGTAGGCCTTCGAACCATGATTCCAAGTAGACTTTGCCTTTGAAAATTATACACGGAGGGAGGGCCCAACCCGATGAATTTGCACATTCAATAGTAGTCACCCATTCACGATTTCCAGGCTGTAAAAGCGAGCGCCGACCGTAGAATTCACTTCTCGTTATCACCTTCGCCGTAGCGATTAACCCCATTGCAAAACCGGTCTCATCGAAGTTATAAACGTCATCGGGGTCGATTCCAAATTGAAGGATTGTTTTTTGAACGAGATCGAACCACTCTCGAATGATTTTTGGGTCTTCGCACTTCGCACGTTCGAAATTATAGCGTCTCGAGAATCGGGAGGAGAGGTCAGGGTGTCGTTTCACGAATTTTGTAACCCAATTTTCGCCAACTGAAAGGATTGGGGTAGTTCCGCGCTTTTCGAGAAGCAGATTCGCCATTTCTCGAACCATAGAAGGCCGAGGGGCTGATCCCCGAGAATCCATAGAGAGAATCCATTTTCGAAGAGATTCCTCTTCAGTTTCTGTCAATTTGTGTGAATTGGCACGAGAAATCGCGCGGCAAGGGGTATTCTTTAGACGACGGAGGAGAGTTGACTTTGGGACTTCAAAACGGCGCGCTACTTCACAGATAGAGCTGATTTGTTGATCCTTAATAGCCTGGATAGCTAATAAGATTCTACCCTCTTGCTCTATTGAATTTCTAGAGCTTTGAGAGCGAATTGGTGGCATGGTGGGTGGTTGAATTGATTAAGTGCAAATTTAGGGACGCGTTTTGGGTGGGGTGGACCACTCGGTGGTGTGGACCACTCGGTAGTGAAATACGTTATAGGTACTAGGTTAGGATATAGTTAATACGATATAAGGGAGAGTGAGTGATCTAAACTTATAATAGGTAACTTACGACTATATAAAACGGGGGTTACTAGTAGTAAAAGGGGTGCTTTATATAGGTCTAATAGATCTTAAATTAAGTGTAGATCCACTATATATTATAAGCTAATTAGCTATAAGTGTCTTTATCTATAGGCGTACCTATAGGTATACCTATAGATATATACCTAAACGCCTATCTTAAGTTATAATCGAAGGATTTAAAACTCCTAGGATAATAATATAAGTCTTTTAGTAATATAATTAATAGAATTTAGTGATATAAGCTTATAAAATAAGAATTATACTAATTATCTTTCGATCTACCTATAAGAAATATACTAGAGTGAGAGATAAAGTAGAATTTATAAGTAGTATTTTACTTATAGAAAATGTTAGGTATATACCACTAACTTAAATATATATCTTTAAGCTATTATAGTATGATTTGATAAGTTAATAAAAATACCACACAATATGATATATTTCGATTAAAATTTTATTCTAAGTCGTATTATATATATACTAGTTTCTTATATATATAGATATTTTAGTAAAATTTATAGATGTTGTAGATTAAAACTGCCATTTTATATGGAGTTAGCAAAATATGTGTAAATAATAGTTATTTATTATGCAAAGTCAGCGAGTTATACGTCCATTTTAGGTGACTTTATGCAATGGTGGGTATCGTGGGCATGCCCGCCGTGGGTATGCCTGTGGGCCTTAGGCGTTATGGACGGGCACTCGAAAATCTAAATAGCCCAAGGCCCACCGTGGACGGGCAATGTCGCAGTCTAATAGAACCTATATAATTTCGGTAAAATTAGGAAGCTTTATCCGTTTAATTAAATTATATAGACTATTAACTAAGGTCTTATTATTTAACGTGTTATCTATAGTAATTATAATTACTCGATTTATAATATTCTACTACTAAAGAACCTTAAGGAGAATATCTACGAGATTAGAGCCTATATACTAGCCGTAAACTAGTATAAAACCTAGAATAATCTTATAATAATCCTAATTAGTATCTATAAAATAGCCTATAATTACTATAAATACCTATTAGAAGGGCGAAGTCTAATAATTAAGGGTAATTAATAACTTTACTCTAGCTAGGAGTAGAGAAAGAAGCTTTTACTACTCTATATAGACGATTAACTAGAGCTAACGCCGCGCAGTCTTTAGTAATAGAAGGGTAAGCTTCTATTAAGAAAGCTAAGCCTCTATAATAAGATCTTCGAATTCTTTATACCGGAGGACCTCGAATATATCCTATTATATAGACCCCTTTTTTAATATAGCTATATATATACGACTAGATAAATACGTAGCGAGTGACTTCGAACTATTTACTAATAAGGATAGGTGTAAAATTGCTTTTCCGTATCTCCGATAGAGTGCTATTAGTTTCCTAGTTTAGGAGTGGGCTACTTAATTAAAGTGCTCCTAAGCGGTAGAGGTATACCTTATATTAAAGTTCACTTTACGTAGCGGAGGGTATAGTTATATACCTACTATATAACGCTACTACTTAATAAAGTCGGCTCGTTAAGGATACTAATACTATAGACTAAAGAAGGGAGAGGGTTTCCCGCTTAGGAGAACGAAACCTAGGATAATAGGCTAGCCTTAGTATATAGTTTATATTAAGATATACTCGAATTATAATTGTACTAAAATAGAAGAGGGTATAAAAAGGATATCTCTAAGGCCTACCTTTATAATTAGGAGAGTCGCGTCTAGCTACTAGTAAATTCTAAATAATAAGTAGCGCGACTACCTATTATAAATAGGTAACGACCCACTTATTATTTCTCACTTATTAGCTTATTTAACGGGACTCCTATAGGAATCCTATAGGACTCCTATAAAAAGGGGAAGTTAATAGATCTAGGGGTATCTAGAATCCCCTATAACTTTAATTAGAAAATCTTTACTTTTAAACCTACTTTATCCTAAAATTCTATAATAACTATATAGTAGAGAATAGTGATCCTAAGATAAAAATAAATAACTTAGGGGTAACGTTTCTTATAGTATAGGAATCAATTATATTAGAATTAACTATATATTTATCGAATTTTTGCTATCGTAATAATATATAAGAAATATAGTCTAGTACCTTATTTAAATATATATATATTACTTAACCACTTCCACTAAATACTATATTTATATCTCTTTTATACCTATAGGCGATAATAGTCTATTATATACCTTTTTTTTTTTTTCAGAGGAAGATACTTTTTAATGTAGACTTAAGTCATTTATACACTTAATTATAGACTATATTATAGTTATAAAAAAACCACGTTAGTTAACATTAAAGGTAGGGACGATTATACACCTATAAATAATAGTATTTTATCTAATTACTTTATAGATTTATATAGCCGAAAGAGGAAATTCTTAGCAAATTATACTAGCGTGGGACTATATAGGACCAAAATTTTTTTAGTCCTATAGGAGTTAGTAAGGCCTAGTTTTTAGCTTATTCTATAAATAGTAAATATATTATAATTTAACCCACTTTAACTTAAGATAATCTCTATAATTAGCTAGATTTACTAGGCTAATGTTACGGACCTACCCGTCACCAATCAACGGGGCCCCACCGGGCACACAGATGGGCCATCAAGAGCCAACCAACAATTCAGTCAGCAGATCACGTATAGGCGAGTAGGCCACCAGAGAAACCTAGCCAGAGGGCAGCCGTTTCCGGCAGCGCCTAGGCAAATAGCAATTCTACTCGATAACAACTACGAATACCTAGACCGTCTGATCACGTGACCGTGACCCCCGAATCTACTCCTAGGGAGTATATAGAGGGAGTCACTAGTGACTCTAACGGCGACTCCTAGGGAGTCACTAAGGGAGTAGGGAACGAAGGATATATAAGGACACTCGTTTATATACTTAGTTTAGTTCTTCGTCTTCAATCCTATATTGTTACTTATATTTACCTTTAGAACTACTATGACTTTCTTACTTAATTATAACTCGATAACACTCACGAGTAGACTAATACTACGGTATAGATCTACTCGGCGCTCTCACTAGTATCGTTCCCCGATCTCTTAATAGGACTTAGGCTAGCGTAAGACCTAATAGGTAATAGCTTAGTTACGATAGACCGTTAACGTTAGATACCTAAGGAGTATTAAGGTAAGTATACCTAGGACCTATCTAACCTAACTATAACTAGTTAGTAGTGCGTAATATATTAAAGACCGTCTTAAATTAAGTTTTAAGTCATAAATCAATATATTATCCGGTAAGACACCTGTGGTTAAAGCACCGACTAGATAGGAGTAGGATAATTAGGAAGACGCCTAAGAAGCGAAAACCTAGGAACTTTAATAATAGGTTAAAGCTTTACTAAAGTAACTAGCGGAGTAGAAGAAGTATAACGCTTAGGTAGAAGACCACCTAGCATAGATATATGCCTAAGTCACTACTTCCGCACTAGCTAGTGCTATCTAAGGGCCGACGCTACCTAAGGCTAAGTACTTCGAGGGAAACCGAACTAAGCTTCGCGGATTCCTTACTTAGATAGATATACATATTAATATGAACAAAGTTAAGCTTCTATCCGACGTAAGTAGGGTGATTTTTATATTAACCTACCTACGCGGATAAGTATAGAACTAGCTCGAACTATATATTAGGGACTACTACGAGAAAGCACCTAAAGATTGGTTAAGCACGACCACCGATATCTTTAATAGCTACGGTAGTTTCCGATAACACCTAGAACGGATATTCGGAGATATCGACGTAACTAGAATAGCTAAACGTAAGCTACAGAAAATTAGACAATAAACTAGCGCGTTAGTCTACGCCTCCGAGTTCTAGCAAATTATATCCTATCTAGACCTACCCGACCGAGTATATATTCCGTACTTCGAGGTAGGACTTAAGCTAGATATTAAGGATAAGCTAGCACGAATCGATAGGCTAGAAACCCTAGACTAACTTATCGCGATCATAGTTAAGATCGACAACCGTATTAATAAGCGACGGTATAAACGCCGAGAAATAGACTAGTGGAAAAAGGGTAAGAGTTATAGATTTAATCGATTCGGTCACGGGCGCCGCGATAAGGCACTACGCGACCCTAATCTATATAGCCCGAAGCTAATAGAGTTAGACGCCACTTAGGACGAGTAAAAGGAGCGTCGATAGAAGAATCTCTACTTTATATATAGAAAACTAGGACACCGCGTATTCGAATATAAGTAGAAGAAACCGTACGAGAAACGGCAATATATACGAGCGACACGTAAAGAGTTACGTGCGACTCGAGAGTCTAGGAAGAATTACCTAAGGACGGAGTCCTTAGAAGATCTCTTAGTAAGATAGGAAAACCTAAGCCTAGAAGAGATAATAGCGGGCAACCTATATATTAAAGGGTTAGCCGACGAGCCGTATAGCGATTACCTAGAAATCGATTAGGATAATATAGAAAGCTAGGGATAGACTTAGTATATTTCCTAGGAGCTAGACTACTCCTTAGAATAGTCTAGCGATTCCTAGGAACGGGAAGTGGGGCTCCTAGGAACACTAACCACGTTCCCCGGAACTACTAGTAGTCTAAGAACAACACGTACGTTCCTAGGAGAGGACTAAGTGATCCCCGAGACACCACTAGGAAGTCCAATATACTATTAAAAGGATAAAGAAGCCAATAATAAGCTTATAGGATATCTCGAAGGAAAGATATAGCCTAGTAGGCTAGACTAGCACCTTATTAACGCTATTAAGGAAGGCGACGACCTAGTAGGATACCCCTATAAAGATTCCACTTACGCGTGTAAAGGATATACACGACACCCGGGACATAGTAAGATAGCTAGTGTTATATACTATAATAAGATATACACTACCCACGGGTCCGGTAAGTTAGATCTAGGCATCGAACTAAGACCACTACGGTAGATAAAAAAGCTATAATAGAAGTAAGAATATCAGGGAATTTAGTATAACGGACGCTAGATATACGATCACTAGGATCGACTAACAATATATCTAGTAGCGACACTATTAGGGACCTATATTAAGTTATATATAATCCTACCGATAGGCAAAGTATAGACTCTTATCGACTCGGGAGCCACTAACAATTTTATAAACCTAGGATTCTAGGAAACCCGATAGGTTACCACTAAACTACTACCATATATGATTCTAGTTACGGGACTCGATAGAGAAGTACTCTCCGGAGGAGTTAGCAAGGAAACCATTACCCTACTAATATCTATCTACGGATATCTAGAATTAATAAAGTTTAATATCCTAGAAACGGGAGACTACGATATCGTCTTAGGCGTTCTATAGCTTAGGAAGCACAACCCGAATATTAATTAGCAATCAGGATAGATCACCTTCGATAGGTGTAAGTGTACAGAATAGTACGACGAATATAAGACACGTCGGAAGAAGTCTACTCTAGGAAATCGAGGTAGTAACCACTAGTCTAGGAATAAGCGGACTAGGGTATCGGTCACGGGCGCGTCCCCGGACACGATAGAACAATCACTAGATATATTAGACTAAGAACTAGCGGAATACGTGATAATTAAATAAGAAAAGCTATACGTAGTTAGCGATAAACCTAGGATTCCGGATAAATACCTAGAGTTCTAGGATATATTTATAGCACCGGCCGATAGAGTATTACCTAAGCACGGACCCTTTAACTATAAGATTAACACGATAGAAGGTACTAAACCTACTTTTAAACCTATCTATTAGTTATCTTAGAAGGAGTCGGAAACACTTAAGGAATATATCGACGAGAACCTATAGAAAGGTTATATCCGAGCCTCGAAATCATCGGCCGGATACCCGATTATCTTCGTACCAAAGAAGGATAGGAGCCTTAGGCTTTACGTAGACTATCGATATCTAAATTCGATTACTATTAAAGATCGGCACCTACTACCTTTAATTCACGAAATATAGGATAGGATCGGAGGAGTAAAGTACTTTTCGAAGTATAATATTACTAATACGTACCATCGTATTAGGATTAAGCTAGGCTACGAGTGGAAAACGGCATTTAGAACTAAGTTCGGATATTACGAATATAAGGTTATACCTTTCGGCCTCACTAACGCACTAGTAATATTCTAACGCTTTATCTTTAAAGCGATTAAGGAATACTTAGATATCTTCGTCGTCGCCTATCTAGACGATATCCTAGTTTTCTCGAAAACACTCGAAGAACATATTAAGTATAATAGGCTCGTGCTATAGAAATTAAGAGAAGTAGAAGTTACCCTTAAACTTAAGAAATGCGAATTCTACGTCTAAGAAACCACGTTCCTAGGATATTGTATTAGCCCGGACGGACTCGGGATAGAGAAAGATAAGGTTAAGAGTATTATAGAATAGCTAATACCTAAGATAATAAAAGAAGTATAATAGTTTCTTAGTCTCGCTAACTACTATCGAAAGATTATCGACGGATACGCTAGAGTAGCGTCGGGACTCTATCGACTCACTAAGAAAGATTAGAAGTTTAAATAGGACGAGGTAGTAGAGGCATCATTCTAATAACTTAAGCAGCTCTTTAGATAAGGGACAATCGTGGCTACGTTTAGCTACGACGAACCAATTATTATAGAAATAGATACTTTAGACTACGCTCTAGGAGCAAGGCTAACGCAGCTAGGAACAGATAGGAAGTACCGACTAGTCGCGTTTTAGTCGAGAAAGATAATCCTAGTAGAACTTAACTATAATATATACGATAAGGAACTACTAGCTATAGTGTCAGCATTCTAAGTTTAGAGAGTATATCTAGAAGGAGTAAAACATATAGTGACGGTTAAGTCCGATTATAAGAACCTTACGTTCTTTATAATAACTAAAGTTCTTACACGACGATAAGCGCGATAGGCTAAGACCTTAGTATAATACGATTTTAGAATCGAACACTATAAGGGAACAGAAAATAGCTAAGTAGACGCGTTAAGTAGACGACTAGACTACGAACTAGGCACTAAAGCAGCGGAACTAGTAGTCTTAAGATAAAACTTAGATAGCACTATTTCGTATAATAAATAGCTATTAGCCGCGATAGTGGAGCTAAAGGACGATGATTTCCTATAATAAATTAGAGACGCAATAGAAGAAGATATAATTAACTAACTCGTCGAGAGAGGTGGTAAGCTCACTAAGGATAAGACTAGACTATTCTATATACACGGATTAATCTATGTTCTAGCTAGGCTAAGAAACGAAGTTATTAAACGACACTACGACGATATTATATATAGATATCTAGGGGTAGAAAAGACGATCGAACACATTTCGCGAAATTACTATTTTCTAAATATATAGCGAAAGGTCCGATTCTATATTAGAGTATACGATACGTGCTAACGAAATAAACTAGCACGACATATACCATACGGAGAATTATAGTTATCGGAGACACTAAGTAAGCCATAGGAATAGATTACGATAGACTTTATTATAAAGCTACTAATCTCCGAAGGACACGATATAATCATGGTTATAGTCGATAGGCTCACTAAATACGCCTATATAATTCCGACTACCGAAACTATTAATACCGGATAAATAGCAAATATTGTGCTACGATATATAGTCGCGAACCATAGAATGCCGAGTAAAATCACATTAGATAGAGATAAGTTGTTTATATCGAATATATAGTAGTTATTTACGGATTAAATAGGTATTAAGCTTAGACTCTCTATAGTATACTATCTATAAACCAATAGATAGATAGAAAGAGTGAACTAGACATTAAAATAGTACCTACGACACTACGTGAACTACTAGCAAGACGACTAGGCAGGACTATTACTAACGGCATAGCTAGTATACAACAATATAGCACACTTAATAACCAACGAGACACTATTCTTTACGAATTACGGGTATAACCTAGTGGTATATAGAGAACCACTTAATAGAACCACTATAGTAGAATTAGTAAGGCTAAAAGCTAGCGGACTAAAGAAGTTGTATACGTAACTAGCCAGAGATATTAACTTTATTAACCTACGTATAAAAAAATACTACGACGACCACTATAGAGAGGGACCTAACCTAAAGGAGGGGGAAAAGGTTTACCTATTGCGCCGCAATATTAAAACTAAGCGACCTAGTAATAAATTAGACCACCTACGATTAGGACCGTTTAAAATTAAAGAAAAATTAGGACTAGTTAGTTATCGCTTAAAGCTACCGGAAAGTATATAGAAACTCTATATAGTGTTTTATATCTCGTTACTCGAACCCGCACTAGAAAACGCCGAACTTACAATAAATATAGAACTCGAGGACACCGAAGACGAATATAAGGTCGAACGAATCCTATCGGATAGATAGTACGATAATTAGTAACAACTTTTAGTAAAGTGGAAAGGATACCCTACCTCGGAAAACATATAGGAACCTATCGCGAACCTAAGGGGCTACTACTAACTAGTCTAGGATTATTACGTAGAGGCGAAGCGGACTCCTGAGTAGCGGAAGTCAAGGAAGAATCGCCGATAAGGAAGGATAAGTCTATCCCCTCTAAGACTAAAGGGGATAGGGGACTAAATATCTAAGTTAGAGTAGGATTCTCTAACGTAGCGGTAAGAATCTAAGTATCGTGTACGTCGGCGAGACAATCTAGCTTAGCGAGGTCCTTAGCTCCGAGAGGATCTTTAGTATCTAACTACTCTATTACCACCGAGTTATGATTTAATATCTAACTACCACGATCCTTTAGAAACTATTATTATTTCTGAAGGCGAAGTATCTTTAATATCGTTTAATTTATTTATTAAGAGTACTTAAGCTATTGTTTTTAGGCTTACTCTAACTCTAACGCCACCTTTTTACGATCGCGCTCGAGCGATCCCTACTTACGATTATTATAAAAACGCTTTACGCACTTACGCCTACGACGAGTGCACTCCGTATAATTCTAACTCTTCGAGTCTATAATA